GCCCTTCGGCACCTCAGCTACCCTGAGAGATTGAAGCGCCTGAACTTGCCTAGCTTATACTACAGACGGGCAAGGGGTGACCTAATAGAGGTGTATAAGCATCACAAGAGGCATTACCCGGTACTCAGTCCAGTGTCCTCACTTGGAGCTGGCGGACGCTCGCCCCACAAGAGGTCACAGCTCAAGATTGAAAAAGCCGCAAGTCCAGAAAACTGTGAGGGCAAACTTTTTCGGAGTGAGAGTTGTGAACTCTTGGAACAATCTACCAGAAAGTGTTGTAACGGCACCGAGCGTGAGCTCTTTCAAGGCAAGGCTTGACCAACACTGGAGCGGGTTCAGGTACATTCAGGAGCCGGTGCATGCCCAGTACTTGCCAACAGTGCGTAACAGAGACGTGACCGATCGCCCAAGCGGCTAACGAGCCGATCTTTTGGTGAAGAGGATAAAAGAAAAGGATAAGTAATCAGAGACGTGACCGATCGCCCAAGCGGCTAACGATACGATCAGTGGTGAAGAGGATAAAAGTAAAAGTAAAGAGTTACTTATTGGGTGTGTTATTTACCCGAGTGTCCATGTATGGGTGTCAGGAGTCGGCAAGAGTATGAGGGACGCTACTTTACTTCTTGGCGAATGCAACAAAGTAGCTCAAGGAGGCTATTAGATGTGGTGCTTTTGCTAAGAGTCCTGTTACTAATTAAGAGCTACAATGCTCAGGTAACCTGTATTGATGGTGCTCAAGTGTGTAATGTAAGATTTTAGTGTTGTGTGTTTTTTAGAAGGCACACGAAGTAATAGTGTATGTTGGAAGGTGTACCAAGTTGAAAGTACAAAATGAGTGGAGTTGATCCTTGCAGTGGTGTGTTGCTGAAAGTAGTCTTAAGTCTAACTTCATTTTAATAAACCATTTTAATTGTATGTTGGGGGTATCATTCTCTTGCAGTATTCGCCTTTGCCTCTTCCCACATCTTAGTACCAGTATTACAGTATGCCCCATGTCCTAACCCTCGAGCCATGCTACCACAGGTCAGAGGCTAGGGGGTATCTATAACATATGGAATGAATAAAGTAGGACTTTGAAAGAAAGAAGGTTTGAAGAGCTAAGAAATTAAGACAGAAAGAAAATTAGCTGTTTAAAAGTTGTGGGATAGAGAAAAGCATATTGGTCAACCCCTAGGGACTCAAGTCCTAAAGTAATAATATGGTATTATTTAACTTTCAGACATAGCGCACCCCAAAGTTATAATCTACTGAAACATTTAGATCTTCCTATTCTGAGCATTTTGAACCCCTTATATACCTGGCGGAAATGGATAATAGCGATACAATTTATTACACGTACTTTTCAGTCTTCGTCTATGTGAGATGTTTTCGTCGTGAAAGCGAGTTAATTACGAGTGTGTTTTCATTACGCATGCGTGACGTCTTCCAGTCGTTATCAACGATGTATCGATCTCATTACGAGAATTTTTTTTCGACCAATCAAAATTTAATATTTTCAAAGGGAGGAGCCAAGGTACGGATTTGAAGGATTTCAATTTCAATGACCAGTGTGACAATGGCCATGGTAAAGGTGTGGTGTGAATCGTGTTCCTACGATTATTTTAAGTTTACTGGATTTTACGTGAAAGACGATCAAGCTATCCAATTCCTGCGTAATCACGGTGTTCTCCCTACGTCTGTTGATTCTGCACTGTAAATTGCCTTTGTATTTAGGAAAAACAAGCATCAGAGGTTGACCCTGAACCTATCCCTGGGCCTTCCACTTCTAACTGAGGTATTATACTTTCGGGCATGGCGCGTCCTAAAGTTTAAAACTACTGAAACATTTAGATCTCATTATTTGGGTCTTTTGACCCCATTTATATTAGTTGGAAATGAATAGGATAGGTTAGGATAGTTTAAGCTAAGCCTGCTGGGGGTCCGGGGGCGGAGCCTCTGGCTAGGGCTTAGGTTAGACGACTCGTTTTCGTGTTTCCCCACCCAAACCCCGATTTCGCAGGCTCTCCCATTATCGATGGGGAAGGCAAATAAGCAATTTCAAAAATGAAGGTCAGATTCGTTTAAAACATACCAAAATACAGAGGAAAATCATATTAGTCAACCCCATGCATGTTATTTAACGTAAAATCAGATGATCCATATTACGCTCAATAGCCCAAAACAGTCTAACTTCATTATTGAGTCCCCCATCGGAGACGTCCGTTTTCTCACTGCTTCAGTACGCCTGAGACATTCGTTTTATCTCTGATACTTCGGAGACTCTAGTATTTCTTAGTATCTCAAGTCATGTTATGAGATTATGAATGAATGCGTAGGTGTTACATTAAAATAGATATCTCTGCTTACAGATGAAACATTCAAGATCCCTTGTGAGTGATGTTGTAAGCTTCAGTTTCACACATCGCTAATGGTCACACCGCTCCTGCCGTGGCTGTATTTACATAAGTGACGTCACCAAAGACGTCACCGAGTCGTGATCGTAAAATCTCCATTCGGTGGGAACAGGTCTGTCCATTCGTTGCTTTGATAGATAAATTCGTGTTCAGATAAGAGTCGTCACAGAAGTTGCATTGGCTCAGAGGGCCCATTTTTTTAATGGGGATTAGCCGTGGAAACAGGTCAATGACCCACATCATGACCTGGGGGCGAAAAATATACTACTACTACTAATAATAATAAAAATTATAGAAAATCATAAAAAATATTAAATAAAATATAATATAATAATAATAATAATAATAAAGGACCATTAATAAAAAAGATCAATAGTGAGAAACCTTATATGTATGTTGTGTTGTCAAAGTAAAAGGAGACAATTGAGACCCTGCAATTGTGTGTAAATGAGGCAGAAAGTCAGATCAGCAACGAGGGACACTGTCACAATTTTTGTGATGCCATATGGCAGCACATTATGCTTCCAATATCTTCCCAGGCGGTAGTACTGTAGTGGAAACTCTCCCCTACAACTGCTGACTGATCACTCCCTCTCGATACCAGCCAATCAGCAGCGAGTTCCACAGACCAGGCCTCACTTGCGAACCGCGCGGTGATTGGCGCCGGTCATTTCGCACCTCGCTTCTCTGATCCTGGAGAATCGTATACTTACACCTTAGCCTAGCCATGGACATCACAATACCTGCAAAAACCCTCCACGCAAATTGCAGAAGACCTGTATATGCCAAAAGAAAAAAGAAAGAAAGTAATAATAACCCAACTCTATCAACAGTATAGAAGTGTTTAAATCAACATGTGTCACGGAAAAACGTCTGATTGAAGCAAGTATGATTAGGGAAATGAATTCCATAAGCCTTAGGGATGGTCAGTACAAAACTAATATTTGTCAGTGGCCTAAGGTTAAAATCGCTTTGAAAGCATTTGAGGTAGATGTAGGATAGATGATTAGTGGGTCTCAAGGTTTTGACCTGACTTGACCTTACTTGTTACGTCACTCATTTTTATAAGCTCTTCTTTCGTGTGCGGTGGAGGTGGTGTGTGGACAATAACTGATTGTTAAAATTTGCAAAATATTAGTCTAGTTGCCATATATTTAGAGAAAAATGCTAACTTAACCTAACCTACCCGTCCTGACCTAACTTAACCTTACCCCTAGGTAACGTTTGATTGTTCTATCACAGGGTGGACATGTCTGTGCTCCTGGTCTATGCAGTATTTATGTGGATAAACGGCACTATAAATTATTATTATTCTCGGAACTCAACATTTGGTTTTAACATTTTTGGCGAAACGGGTACATTTACGTATAATTTGAGTAGCCCAGTCAGGTCTTGGCGCGAAGAAAACTGATTTCTGAAATTAATGCGTCTTCCCAACGCCTGTGTTTTAGTGGGGACCACTCAGTAGGCGTGATGTGGTTTTCCTTGACCTTCAGGAAGCGCGACCCACGTTGGGGCCCTGTGTGGAGCATAACGACTGGTGGGAGGAGCTTAAGAGCTGAAGGAAACTTTAAATGACGTCATCAGTTACTACATTTAGCTAGTTCTTCACCATGTTCAAGAGTTACCTCTTGAATATTTAGTGTAATGTCACGTAATGGAGTGTATTTATCAACTTGATTTATTTTCTCTATCGTCGTGTATTATGAATTTTTCAGAGCTTTTCAGACTCCGCTGAAGGTCTTCCCGCCAATGCCCACTGTATTTATGAACAAATGCATTATTTGAAAGGTAAATTCTAATTATTCTATTTTTTCCATCTATTTGTTTGTTTAAATAAGAATAACATTTTCACTAACTCTTTTTTTCCCTCAGTGTAATCTCTTTATCAAATTATATAATTATTTTAGTATCGTACGGTTTTGTCAGTAAGTTCGTTGCCTTTAAGAAACAATTTATTAATTTTTGTTTAAGTTGTTTTTGATCTCGTTCGTCAGGTCACAATTCCTCTGAATTTTCATGTTTTTCTTCTGTTTATCACTTTTCTATTGTCTATTTATGAGCTATTCGACCATTTTCGCTTTTAATCCAATATTTGAGATATTCTTAGCTACTGACTTTTTTCAAAATTTATTGTATTTCCATGCTTAAGCTTGTTCCATTTTCTTTCACTTTCATTTTCATTTGGTTTACTATCTCCGTCTTTCGTACTCATTTTCGAATTGAATAATTCAATATTTTGTTAATTTTTGTGCAGCTTTGTTCACGAGGCTTAGGAATAGTCACCTTTACTTGCTTCACATTGTTGGTGATGTCAGTCCTTCACACCAGAAAATAGTAGTCGAGATTTTTCGTACACGTATTGTCATAATTATTACCTCCAGGGCCTAACAAATATTGCCAGAACTCGCAATATGTAACATATATTTACTATACCATAGGATATGCGTATCCAGTGTAAACCATGCTATCTTATTCATAATTGTATATTCATAGCGAAGTAACATGTACAGATAAAGAGAATACATGAAATTAAATAGAAAAGTTAGGGATTAGTGAGTGAGGTGTGTTGCCGGGGGAGGTTGGCAACAGTGGGGCGAGGTTGTGGGTGGGGGCTGGTCTCAAGACAACTTCACTCCACTGCCACGTCCCGGTACTGAACACATCCTCTCTGTACGCACCATAGTACGAGTTTGTTGTTGTGTGTGAACGTTTTCCATCACGCGCCAAAGTACGGTTTGACAATCACGTTGTAATTCTTACTCATAAGTGGTTTTATCTTCTGGGTTTAAGAAATTACTTGTGAGGGTGATCATTGTATCTAACGATTTTTTTTGTGTTTAGGCGTGATCAATCGATTAATTTTACCTGTTGTCATTGGATTGTGTGTGGGAATGTGAATTGTGTCCACCGTTAATGAGGCCATTACACCCTCATCGTACAATACTTGTTACAATCAATGGGTTAGTCATGTGTCCGTGCACGTAGACTCGCCGGCAATAGTAGAATGGCGCACGTGTGTGGTGTATAACACTCTAAATTTTATGAGTGGAATCAGTTTAACAGTGAGGGTAGAGGTTGTAGCCTGTTACAAAAGCCACCACTTTACAAAGAATAAGCAATGCAGTGTGAGGTCGCTGCCATTGAGTACAGTATCTGATGTTAACGTTTATTTCTCTGTCCGCCTCAAAAATGAATATTATTTCGATACTCCATCTCAAAATTGATCCCCAGATTGAGTATTCAGTCGTCTTGAATTTTAAGAATTTTATATTAGTCATATGATGAATAATTTTGGATTTATCTCAGGGATGTGGATGAAATGCAAGCGCATTACACGAGGCCAATTTCTTCGGTTGATTAGTATTATATATTATTTTCTGTCCCAGTTATATCCTGATGATGAGAGTGAGACCAGTCTACCGTCGGTATACCTGAACTATCAAATTTCTCACTGACGGTAGCTTACTGTTAGTTGAATACCAGTAATACGGCATCAACTGCTTACATTGTCTGAAGATAACAAAAGTACGTAAAATTTTTTATATTAATTTGGTAATACAAAACAACAAATGAAATAAGGACCTTGATCATATGATACACGATTCTGTTATTATCTTCCAGGTAAAGAATATTTTATTGCATCTTAAATCATAATAACATTTGAACCAGTGGCCAATATTAATTCTTTACTACCGAGTTAAAAATATCGACCAAGATACATTATAATTATACCTTTTGTTTATGGCACCGCTAATTTCAGTCAGACACCGTCTCATGCTAGTCCCGCCAAAATTGGGCTATATCCTCTTGCATTTATATACATGGCGGGCACATCTTGTCTTCACCTGGCTATATTGAATTGGTATTCGTTTTTGAGAACTTGGATCTGTTATAACCGGTGGTGTGAACTGGTGAGGGTCCTTGTCTGACCTTGGCCAGTGTCTGATTATTGTGTTAGATTTACTACCGGAAATGAAACGAATTACTTTCCGGTTTCTGTTGAGTATAGTCCCATGTGTGTGTGTGTGAGTGTTATGTATGAATGTATCTGTACACGAGGGTTTGTATTTTGGTAGTGCATTTAATCTTTTTTGTTTGTGTGAATTTTGTGAGGGTGGTTGTGTTGCCAATGTGGGGGGAAAAGAGAGAGGAAGAATGAATCTGAGAGTAGGATGGATAGCGAGAAGAAGGGAAGGGAGAAACGATAAAAGGATAAGCAGTAAAGAAGGAAATGTGATTAAATAAGAGGAAGGGTGTATGGCGTAAGGGAAATGAAGGAATAAGAGAATGAAATATCAGAGGAAAAGTAAGAAAGCCGATAACCAGGGAGAGAAGGAAGAAAAGTAGCTAAAGAGAAGAATATAGGACTTAGGGAGTGGAAGGGAATTGAAATTAATCAAGAAGGAGATTAAGAAAAGGAAAACAGCATAAAACTCTGAAATAAAGTAGAAATGAAAAAAATAGAAAAGTAGTGGAAGGAAAGGCTAGCTAGATGACAGGATTAGCAAGGGGTAATAGGAGAAATAAGAAGGAAGAGGAAGGAGATATAGGAAGAAGAGGGAGACGAGGGAGGGGGAGGAGGAAGACGATGAAGGAAGAGAAAGGGAAGGAGGAGGTAGGTTTGGTGAGGTTGTGGGAGAGACGCGTGCTGTAGATCACCATTAAGAGATTGTGTCACGGGGCAGTAAGCTGACCACCCTCCCCACATGCCTGCTGTGACACTCCTACCATGACACCTAGCGTGGCACCTCTTCCGTGACACTTGCTCGATACCTAGCGTGACACGACACTCCTGCCATGACACTTGGCGTAACACGCCTGCCATGACACTTGGCGTAACACTCCTGCCATGACACTTGGCGTAACACTCCTGCCATGACACTTGGCGTAACACTCCTGCCATGACACTTGGCGTAACACTCCTGCCATGACACCTAGTGTGGCACTCATGTCATGACGCCCGGCGTGACACTCCTGCCATGACACTCCTACCATGATACATGGCATGGCACTCCTGGAATGATACTCCTGACATGACACCTTGACACCTAGCGTGACACTCCTGCCATGATACTCATGTTATGTCACCTAGCATGACACTCCTGTCATGACGCCCGGCGTGACACGCCTGCCATGACGCCCGGCATGACACTCCTACCATGATACATGGCATGACACTCCTGGAATGATACTCCTGACATGACACCTTAACACCTAGCGTGACACTCCTACCATGATACTCCTGTTATGTCACCTAGCATGACACTCCTGTCATGACACCCGGCATGACACCCACCATGGCAAACCCATCATGACCCACCCACATTAAAATTCAGAGATAAGGATCGCAATTAAAAAATTACATTACATTTATCAGTTTACCATTCCTGTGTGTAGTGTGCTGTATCTCACAGGGTAGTGAACTGTATCCGTGTAGTTGTCTGTATATGCAAGTACTCTCACGGTTTTCTTGTGTACTTTGACGGTCAGACTCTTCCAACTCCGTCCATTTCAACAAAGCTCTAACGAGACGAGTTATAATGAGACCCTTCCGATGGGGCAATGTTGGCAGACTGTAAGCTTATCCCAGATGTTGGCAGACTGCAGAGTTATTCCAGGTGTTGGCAGACTGTAAGCTTATCCCAGATGTTGGCAGACTGCAGACTTATTCCAGGTGTTGGCAGAATGCAGACTTATCCTAGGTGTTGGCAGACTGCAGACTTATCCCAGGTGTTGGCAGACTGTTGACTTATCCCAGGTGTTGGCAGACTATAAGCTTATCCCAGGTGTTGGCAGACTATGCTTATCCCAGGTGTTGGCAGACTGAGACTTATCCCAGGTGTTGGCAGACTGAGACTTATCCCAGGTGTTGGCAGACTGTAGACTTATCCCAGGTGTTGGCAGACTGTAGACTTATCCCAGGTGTTGGCAGACTGTAAACTTATCCCAGGTGTTGGCAGACTGTAGACTTATCCCAGGTGTTGGCAGACTGCAGACTTATCCCAAGTGTTGGCAGCTGCAGACTTATCCCAAGTGTTGGCAGACTGTAGACTTATCCCAGGTGTTGGCAGATTGTAGACTTATCCCAGGTGTTGGCAGATTGTAGACTTATCCCAGGTGTTGTCAGACTGCAGACTTATCCCAGGTGTGGCAGCATATAAGCTTATCCCAGGTGTTGGCAGACTGTAGATTTATCCCAGGTGTTGTCAGACTGCAGACTTATCCCAGGTGTTGGCAGACTGTAGACTTATCCCAGGTGTTGGCAGACTGTAGACTTATCCCAGGTGTTGGCAGACTGTAGAGTTATTCCAGGTGTTGGCAGACTGTAGAGTTATCCCAGGTGTTGGCAGACTGTAGAGTTATCCCAGGTGTTGGCAGACTGTAGAGTTATTCCAGGTGTTGGCAGACTGTAGAGTTATCCCAGGTGTTGGCAGACTGTAGACTTATCCCAGGTGTTGGCAGACCGTAGACTTATCCCAGGCGTTAAAATTTCCTCGCTTTAACTACCAGGGTTTTTGTTATTGGTTTATGTGTTTTAACTACAAGGGTAATTATTATATTTATAGCTTTGGATGCAAGTAGGTAGTAGTCAGCCATCAAACAGAGAAGTACTACCGCCTGGGAAGATATTGGAAGCATAATGTATTGTCTAATGGTAGACCCTGCTGCCATATGGCATCACGAAGATTGTGACCAAGTCCCAGGTTGCTGATCTGACTTTCTGCCTCATTTACACACAATTGAAGGGTCCTTTTTTCTCTTACTTTGACAACACAAATATACATTATATTGTTTATCACTATTGATTTTTTTTAATTCTTTATGGTTCTTTAATATTATTATTACAGTGTTGTTATTATTGTTACCATAATTTTTAATTTTGTATTTTTAATATAGATTTTATTTACTATGAATTATTATTATTAGTATTATTATTATTATTATTATTATTATTATTATTATTATTACTACTACTACATTTTCGCCCCCCAGGCCCCGATGTGGATCAGTGACCTGTGCCTGGTGGGGTAATCCCCGAAAAAAAAAATGTTTCGTTAACCATCATTATTAAACACCTGTTACCTGTCATTATTTCTTTAATTAGACTTCATTACGTATATCGATTTACTGCTGCGATTTGAAAGCGTTTGAATATCGTCCTAAATTTAGAGTCCTCATTTTGGGGGAGAGAGAGTAGTGGTCTTATGGCTCTGGCTGGGGGAGTGTGAGCATAACTTCCGCTAAGGAGACATTCCCCTCAACGTTTGGGAGTGTAACATTAGCTGGGTGTGTCCTGCTGCCTCCCTCTGCTGCCACCTATACTTCCTTTTCTCCTCCTGCTGCCACCTCCCTCCTTCTGCTGCCACCCACCTTCTGCCATCACCTCCTGCCTACCTCCCACTCCTTACCACCTTCTGCCACCCACCTCCTGCTGCCTCCTCCTTCTGCTGCCACCCACCTCCTGCTGCCACCCACCTCCTGCCCCACCTCCTGCTGCACCCACCTCCTCCCTTCTTTCCTCCATTTCTGCCTTTCTTCTCCCCCAACATCACATGTAGGTCCCCCCTCCTTACCTCTGTTTCACTAATTTAGTTTTCCTCGTCTCTTCTTTCTTCTTCTCTTACTCCTGTCTTCTTTCTTTCTTTCGCCTGTTCCAGCTTTCTAGTGTCCCAAATTGTCTTAGCCACTTGACTCTTCCCGGTTATTCATTCCTCGTATCCCTATTCT